GCACATGCCTGGGTTGCAGGCCAGTTCCCGGCAGGGGACTCATGAGAGGCAACCACACATTGATGTTTCTCTCCCTCTCTCCTTCCCTTTCTCTCTAAAGATAAATAAATAAAATCTTAAAAAAATAAAAAATAGAGACGAAATGTGCAACTAGACACATTTAAAAAAAACAAAAAAAAATAGAAATGGAAAAAAAGGAATTTTTTTAGAGAGAGGAAAAGGGAGGGAGAACAGAGGGAGAGAAACATCAAAGTGCAAGAGATACATCAACAGGTTGCTTGTCACAGGCCCTCAACTGGGGACCTGGCCTGCAACCCAGGCATGTGCCCTGACCGGGAATTGAACCAGCGACCTTTCAGTTTGAAGCCAGCACTCAAACCACTGGGCCACACCAACCAGGACAAGATCTGAAACTCAATATGCATGATTTTGTGGGGTTTTCTGGGTCAACTGAATATCGAACCATTTTCAGCGGTTACTGCTGGCCACTTTAGGGAAGAGTGGGGCGTGTCTTTTTAATTGTTGGAGTTGGAATGCCACAGCTTAGCAGCCTTTTCCTGATAATCTGGGGCTCAAGTAGCCCTGGCTTCCCCGTCTTTCTCCAAAGTCTTAGCTGGTTAAGCGAAGAGGCTTTGTTGTGTGGTTGTCTTGTGGCCCAGCTAACGTCATTTGTTCCACTAAGGTACCGAAGGCTCAGGAAAGCCGGCCACAAGCATGAAATTGAACGGACTGAGAGCTTCATCATTCACATTTTTTTTATCCCTGAATTTTGTTGGAAAGTCTGTTCAAATCTATCAAAATAGGCAAGAACAGATTTGTCCTTTTTCTGTATGTGATGATGTACGGTTTTCCAAATAACTTGGCAAGGAAAGATGTAGGAGACAACTCCGTAATTCAGCGGCCTGTTGCTGAGCCTTCTCAAAGCCCTGGGCATCAGTTAACGTCCTCCAGAGGTTTATTCCATTTAGTAGCCAAGAAAAATGTCCAGGCTAATCATTTTCTACAACCATGTGAATAAGTTGATAAAGATCAGAAAATCCAGGCTGATAGGCACTGATAATTAGATCGAAATGCCATTCAAATTCAAGGGAATTAAGCTTAAGGTCAGGGAAATCCTTTACTAGGGGCATAAATTTGGATTTAGTCCGAGCTATGTAAGAATTTTGGTTGTCTCCATCACCTGATTCAACCTTAAAGGAGCCGTTAAGGAAAGGGATGGAAGACCTGGTGCACTAAGGGAAGCAGAGATACCAGGAGAGGAGAAAAAGGGAAGTTCAGAAAGAGCAGGAAAGGGAGGAGAAAGCGGGGTGACGTGGGAGTGGCAGAAGAGGTGGAGACGGCGGTTTTTCTGGGGGCAGTTAGCTTCCGAATAACGTGCAAAATTTAGAGGAAGAGTTTCCACATGGTTCCTCTTCGACTTCAATTTTACAGGTGCAAAGTCTTTTTTCTAATAATGAAGATGTTTAGTCGATTAAGAATTCTTCTCTCTACGAGAAGTGAGAACAGGTTTTGTTTAGCATTCTCAAGGTACCAGTTAAAGAAGGCCTCCATGGTCCGTGGGAGGTTCGGTGTGTTCTTTGTTGCCACCGTGCGTGCGAATAAGAAAGTTTAGAAAATCTGAAAAGAGCCCATCTGGGTCAGCAAATTTTAAGATCATTCTGGATCTCAGTGATTTTTGTCTGAAGACCCAGCCACTTATAACTTTCTGAGCCGTAGGTCTTGTGCGTCAAGCCGGCTGGGGTACCAGAGGGTGCTAAGGTCTCACTGAAAGAGAACTTAGAACATGGGCTCCCCATTTACACTCACCCAGTGAAGGTGCCCCTTCATCCCTTTGAGTGCCCCTTGAACCCAACTGTCCCCCAAAAGCTTTATGGACAAGGTCCAAAGACTGTATGGAGTCTGAGCCTTAGGGATGAGGTTCTAGGAGCCATATGGACCGAGTCCGAATCAAACTTTATGAAGGGTCCCCTCCCTGAAGTGAACGGAGTCCCGGAGACCTCACATGGAAGCGTGGGAGGTTTGGCTCACCCGAGGCCTCTCTGCACACTAGGAAACAACCGAGTACGCAGGGCTCTTGGGGGTACCAGGGCATTGACTCTGAGATGGCATTGGGAAGACGGCCTGGGTGCTGTGTCAGATCCCACCGCTGCCACCAAAATATAAACACATCTGAAAAGTATCGGGACAATAAAAGAATAGGCTTTGTTCAGGCAAACAGGTGAAAGCGGGCTCCACCTGAGATAAGAGGGGGGCTCCTCGCTACCAAAAATCACTTAGACTACATCCTTTTCCTCTTCCTAAGGAAGAGAAGGATCATCAATGACCAACAGTAAATGCAAAAACAACACCAAGACCCTGGCCAGTGTGGCTCAGTTGGTTAGGCATCATCCCAAAAAGTGAAAGGTTGCTGGTTCGATTCCTGGTCAGGGAACATGCCTGAGTGGCCGGTTTGGTCCCCACTGGGGGTACCAATGAGAGGCAACAGATCAATGTGTCTCTCTCACATCAATGTTTCCCTCCCTCTCTTTCTCTCTCCCTTCCCCTCTCTCTAAAGCAACAAAACAACACCAAGAGCTGCCTCCTTATGGTTTCAGGTGCTCTACGTACTTGGAAACTTCTCGTAACAAACTCTAGAAATGATCCCTGAAAGTATAGTCTGGGGGAGGCTGTTCTTTATACCAAAAGTTCTCACCCAGGTTCCTCATTAGGACCATTTCATGTAAATGAGATATCCAAATTCACATGGTTCTGATTGGTCTGAATCACACAGGTCTGACTGCTGAGTCTCAGCCCAGCAGTTGAAACCAGGAACTCCTTTGTAATAGTTGACTCATAGGACACAAACAAGGAGGGCAGTGCGGGAAACTGAGCTCAACCAGAGATTTTTCATGGTATACAGAGCATGATGGCTGCTAGGCTCTCTCTATTCGTAAAATTTGAGTCTTCAGTTGACCATGGAGTCCAGCTTAGCAACTAAATTCTGGGGTTCACATCAAATGATGTTGTGAGGGTTCTATTTATGTCCAAAAATTTAAGCAAGGCCCCAACAATAGGGAGAGGACCCCTCCTCTCCAGAGGCATTTCCTGCACCACCAGGAAAGAGGTAGGAAATCTCCATTCAGGATTGCAGAGACTCAGCTGGTATCTTACTTATTTATTTAGGTAAGGTTTGGGATCTGCCATATTTCATTGGATATGAGATCCTGTCAAATGTTGACCTCACCATTATTTTATATTCCACTAAGGAAGGAAGGAAGGGAGGGAGGAAGGGGAAATTGCCAATTAAACTATGTCGCATCTTTGAATGAACAATGCATCTGGGTTTCTGCTATGTTAAATCTGAAAACTTTACCTTGAAATCAATGACACGGTATTGTATGTGCACATCTCTTCCTCCTGGTGGGGAGGTCGCCTAAGCAACACCATTCACCTGATGCCTTCCTTTCCCTAAAACCTTCTCCTTCCCCACTCTGTCCAACCAATCACGAAGTCCAGTCTTTTCCACCCCTGCTGCCACCTGCCTCATTATCTCTCACCTGGACCCCTGCACTAGCCTCCTAGCCAGCCTGCTCATCTTACCTCCCAATCTATTATTCATGCTGCAGCCAGAGTGATCATCTCATGTCCCTGCTTAAATATTTCCACTGTTTTACATTTGACTTTTTACGACCTGGTCTCTGCCTGCGTTTTAGTCTCTTGGCACTTCCTCCAAATAAAATTACTTGCTGCTTCCCTAAAGCACATATGTTTTTTTCAGGTCTCCAGGCCTTGGCCTTAGCTGTTTTCTAGGCTTTGACTACCCTCCTCAACAACTATTGAACGTGTAGCAAGTGCCAGGAGCTGAAAATGAAGGGATGGGCACGGCACACAGGAGCCCAGTCCTCACAGAGGCTGGTGGAAGAGACAAAAATAGAAACATATAATCATTAATTGTAAGTGGGCATTCGTTAAGGTTTGTTGAAAATGTCAACCACGGCCTCAGAAAGTTTAGAATCCGAATAGGGTCAGGGAGGCAGTTTGAAGAGGATTAGAATCCCACATCTACCACTGGCTACCTATGGAACTTGGCAAGTGGAGTCTCCACCTCTGTGAAATGGAAAAATGCCCTCCCCATAGTATTTCTGGGAGGATTTCATATGAGATACATATAATCACGCGGTTCCGCAGTCTCCGAGGGCCCCTCCTCCACCGGGCGCCAGGGTCCGCCCGCCTCGCAGCGATCGCCCCCACCCCAGGAGGCTGCAGGCGGGACCCTGAGCGCCCGAGCTCAGGCGTGCAGGGAGTACCCAGACTCCTCCGCCTTCCTTCCCGAGACTGAGCCCAGACCGCAGGCCACGGCGCAGGCACGAATCGAGGCGTCGGACGCAGGGCAAGGCGGGCAGCGCTCCACCCCATCTCCCCACTTTGGGGGCCAGCCCCCCTCGCTCACTGGCTCATTCCCGCCCCCGCCCTTGAAGCACTGGGGGGGGGGGGAAGGGGCGGGGGCGGGGCCATGACCCATTCATGCCGGGAATCGGATCCAGATGTTCCCGCGGCGCGTGCAGCTGCATCCTTGCCTTTTTTGGCAAAAAACGTGTGGCCACGAGCGGATCCCCGGCCGCCTCGGCTAATCCTCGGGAAGAGGGGGAAGGGGGCTGAGGGTCTGGGCCCAGACTGGGGATCCGCACCGGTACTCTGCGGGATTTGGAAAGGACTGTTAAGGGAGGTGGGGCGGGATTTGTATGAGACGAGGTAACCCACTGGCACCCCTGCGTCCGTTCAGAATCTGTCCCAAATCCCTCCCTTCTCCACAGGAGGAAAAAGCCCTTGGCCAGCAGGAGGGAGGCAGGCTAAGCCCTAGAGGGACTATAGCAGCGGCGGGGATCCCCTTTCTCCAGAGAGATTTCCCATCCTGTGGCCCACAGCTCCCCCTCTGCCCTGCATGGAGGAGGTTTGGAATAGCCTCCAGAGTCTCCGGTCTGCAAAGAAACCTTTCTTCCCCCTCCATCCCCAGACAAACACACAGAGGCCTGTGCTACCTCACGCTGCTTTATTGCAGAATCTCTAAGTGGATGAAACAGTTCCACCCCTCTGCCCATCTCTGGGCGAAATGGAGCTGAAATGAGAGAACACTCAACGAACATGGGCTGGGCAAAACCCTGAACCCTAGGACCCCCTAGCCAGCGAACCTCTGATCTGTTGCCCAAACAGCCTCAGCCCTGGGGACAGGAGTGGAATGGGGGGGGGGGGTCAAGCCTGAGTATAGCACTTCTCAGGCGCACATCACAGACCTAGAGTCTCTGCAGAGAAGCCTAGATTGAAGGGGCCTAGGTCCCAGAGTCTCGCTTTGAAGGGCTGGGGTCTAGATCCCTGATTTGGGGAGGAGGATTGGTCTGGGAACCATGACAATATCGGACAGGGCTGAGTTCTAGAGTTCAGGCATGAGAGGGGATCTGAATGAGAGGTTCTCTGTAAGAGCCCAGGTTTGGGGGCCTGGGTCAAGGAGTACCAGTCTGTGGATGTTGCAGTGGGGAAGCTGAATCCTGGAGCCCAGGGGGAGCCCCAATTTGGGGAGAGGCTGGGACCCAGAAGTGGTTTGGAAAAGGAGCCTTAGTCCTCGAGCCCTGGTTTGGGAGGGCCTGGGCCCAGGAGCCCTGGCTCAGGGCCCTGCCTGGCTGCAGCCCTGGCACAGTACTTGGTCTCCGTCTGGCACGAATCCTTGGCCCACCAGGGAGGTGGAGCAGCGGGCGCAGGCGAAGCAGCTGTGGTGCCAGTGGCGGTCTTCAAAGGACACGTACTTGCCTCCACCGAGTCCTGAAGGGAGGCTGGAGGTTAGCTCTGTAGGTCTAGAAGGCAGTCCTGGCCCTCAGTCTCACCCCATCCGAGGCCCCCATCCCTTGCCTGCACCCTACCCACTCAGTTATTTGACCCTTATCCCACCTGTGATGGGGCGCTTGCAGCTGCTGCACTTGGGTGCAAAGAGTTCTCCAAAACAGGCCACACAGTAGGGATCATCATCCCGGGAGGTGAACTGCTGCCCTGCCAGGGGTGTCTGGCACCCGGTGCAGACCAGACATTCTCGATGCCAGGGCTGGTCGCGGTATGTCACGCCACCCTGTGTCAGCGTCTGTGGGGGCAGCATCTGTCAGCAGGGGGGAGTGGGTATTCCCACCCCACAACAGAGTCTGGCTCACCCCTACCCATGCGTGCAGTGGTGAGCAGTGTCCCCGCCCTGCTGGTCCAGCCCCCACCTTGCTGCAGCGGGCGCAGCGAGGAGCAAACTTGTTCTCATAGCAGGGCACGCAGTAGTGAGCGCCCTTGTCGGGCACGAAGGAACGGGAGCCCAGCGGCTGCTCACAGCCACTGCACAGGAAGCAGTGCTCGTGCCAGGTCTGGCCGCCATACTCCAGCTTCCGGGACCCTGTGGGGAACAGGGGTCCCACTCAGAACCTGTGTCCCAAGCTCTTGAGTGCCACCCTCTGCTACCCACCCCCTCCAAGGGGAATCCCCACAGCTTCCACAGCCGGGGCAGGGCGGTGTCCATGCACATGCAGCAGGGCCCCCACCACGTATACTGCACATGCTAACCTCCCCCACGCACTGGACATGCTGGCGGAGCACCTCCTAAGCCCCATAAACTAGACATGAGGGTTTGACATATGTGAAGTTCCCATATGGACCAGACATGACTGTCTCAAGTCACAGGCACTATGACTCAGTATATGCTCAGCCCTTACACACCGCATATGATGGTTTCAGCACACACACAAAGACCCCACTTACACTAGCCTAGCAAGTCTCTGCCCACACAAAGTTCTAATGTTTCGGACATAAGTTCAGTACATGCTAAGCCACTGCATACCTTAATCATGTCATTCTCTACATATTCTAAATCCTAACATGTATCTATGAGGCATGCAGCTCAGTGCACACGTCAAACCCTCTGTTTATCTGTCCCCGCACACACCAAGCCCCAGTGCACCAAGCACGACAGTTTCAGCATACTCTTAGCGCCTACACGTACCAAACATGCAGCCCTTCAGACATGCTAAGCCCCCAGGCGTGTTGGTCTGCCCACATGTGGTAAGACCACAGGTGTACACCAGGCCCACTGGTCCAGCACATATTAAACCCTCAGGAACGGACCAAGCTTGGCAGTTCCTGTACACGCTGGGCTTTCGTGTGTACACCGGAGAGCGCCAGTCCCTCTGTCTGCTAAATCCCCCAGAGCACCCTAGCAGGACAGATCCCGCATACACTAAGTTTCCAGGAGCCTGCTGTCTGCGCAGGTCTTCATGTGTGGCCTCCATGTGTGTATCAGACAGGCATGCCAGTCCCTTGCACATGCATGAACCGTGTCCCAAGATGCCAGGCATGCCGGCCCCACATACGATAAGCCCTCGGGGACGTACCCGGCATGACGGTCTCTCCGCAGGCAGAGCACTGTGAGGAGAAGGCACTGCAGTAGCAGTCGTTGCAGAGCAGCTCACTGTCCTGGCAGGTGAAAGGCTCATCGGCTAGGGAGCGCTGGCAGCGGCAGCAGCGGAAGCAGCCCTCGTGGAAGTGGCGGTCTTCGTAGAACAGCTCCTGCCGCAACATGGCAGGGGCACTGGCACCTCTACCCCTTATCACCAGCCTCCACCCACTCCCTGCCCTGCCCAGTCCGGTCCTTACCCTCGAGTCATGCCCGATCAGCTGCTGGCACTCTGCACAGGTGTTGGCAAAGGTGTTGTCGTAGCAGGGTACACAGTAGGGGCCATTGTCTGTCTGGATGTATTTGCGGCCATACAGGGACTCGCTGCATTTTGCACAGTCAAAGGCCTCGCTCATGGTGGCTGTGAGTGAGCCCTGTTAGGGACACAAAGTGCAGTAGGGTCACCAAGAGGGGCTGTAGACTAGCCCCTTGCAAGAGCCCTTGGCATGATAAAGAGCAAGAGAACAGGTGCAGAAAATTCTAGGTCAGAGTAGGTGGTGATGGGGAAGGGATATCTCTGGGAACCCAGGAACCCTGCATGTTTATTTCCGTATTTAACTTTGGGGTGGAAGGGGGTCAGGAAAAAATCAGGAAGCAGAAGTTGTTTTCTTATCTGGGCCCTGGCAGATCTGGGGGGGAGGGGGCTTTTCCTGGGTCAGTGACTCATTTCCTGCCCCAGCCCGAGTTTAGCCTCCACAGTCACTACTGTCCCCAAGGGGGCAAGAGCAGGGGCAGAGAGCCACCCTGTCCCGTCCCATACAAATAGCACACCCACCCTCTCCTGACTCCTAGGCAGGGACCTTGAGATATAGATAAAAGTACCCCTATGCAGAGGGCTGAGGTGGGGAGCTCAGGGATGGGACTGGGCTGTTCCCACCCCCGTCCCCATTCAGGAAACAGTGGAATGTTAGGGGGATGCTGGGCGGATGAATGGTGGAGGTAGAAGCGGCGATGTCATCAAGCCTCACCTCCCCGGAGAATCAGCTCAGCAACAAGGACTTCAGAGGCTCAGCTTAGGTTAAAGCAGGAAGGAAATCCTGCAAGCTGGACCCAGCTAAGCTTCCCCAGCTGGACCCTCTGCCCTCACCCCCTACTGAGTCTCTGGTCACACCAGCCTGGGCAGCCTTGGCCTGCAACATCTGCAGCAGCTGTGGCAGCCCAGATGGCCAGATGTCAGGTTTTGCCAGCAACAGGGGAGGGAAAAGAGAGGGAGAGGGGAAGGGGAGATAGATTATGCAGTGTGCCTCTCTGCCTGCTCCTGCTGGGGGCCATCACTTCTGGCAGCATCTGGCAAAGCCCCAGTAGCTTTCCATCCCCTGGGTCATGATTTCCCTCCTGCCTCTGGGAGAAACAGTTTTTCCCCAGCTTTCGTGATTTCTGAGGGTTTGGGGCAGGGGGAGTCAAGCGTGAGAGGGGGAGCCACTGAAGATATCTTCTCCCCAATCAGGCCCCCTCTCAGATGGGGAGTCCGGCAAGGGGGAGCCCTAAAAGCTGTTCTGCAGATACCCACCCCCCCCAACCAAACCTCAGACACTTTCCATTTTCTCAGGAACAAAGCATATTTGTGGGATGAGGTCATCCACACAGCTGCCTCTGGAACAGGAGCATGGGGAGTGGGGCGGGTAGGGAAGTGGGGTTCCTGGTCCCTTCTGCTGCCCGATTCCAGTCTCTAGCCCCAGATTCAGAGCTCCCCACCTCCAGCCTCCTCCATCATGAAGCTTGCTGAGGACTGGGATCCCGGGGTGGGTGGAGAGAAACCACCAGGACCCATAGGGAGGGGATGTTCTCACAGCTGCAGATGAGCCTGGGGAGTACAAAGGAACCCACCAACCCACTCCCTCCACATTAGGCCTCAGGAACTGGCAGTCCCCAGAGCCTGTCCTGGCTCAAGTTGAAGGAAAAGCCCTCCTTCTCTAAGCCACCCCTAGTGGGAAATTCTCCCAATCAAGCATTGCTCTGGCTTGGAGTTCAGACTCCAGGCGCCGGCAGACTCCCCAAGCCTGTAGAGTCTGGCTCTTGTGAAGGGATGGCTCGTGAGCTCACAACTGTCCTTCTGTACCATGGGAGGACATTCAGTTGACAGCCCAGGCCAGGGCATGAGGCAACCAGAGGCTGGGGTCATCACAGCAGGGAATTCTGGGGTAGGGGGTTAGCTGTAGAGTGGAGGGTAACCCCCCTTCTCACTCCACTCCCCACCACCCAGGCCTGGGTTTCCTCTGGCCCAACATCTGAGGACTGCCTGGGCCATCAGCCACTGGGCAGCAGGGGGCCACCCAGGTGGAGTGTGGCCATTCCTCTGTCCAGGAGTATGCTAGACCTTTTCCTTCCTTCCTTCCTGGCTTGGCTCTAAGCAGCGATGGCCTTCCAGGTTTATGCTAGCCCTGGGCCTGTGCCCTGAGAGGTAGTCATCGCTCTGAGACAGGGGCACCCCAAATAGGGTATGGGCATGGCTTCTGTTCCCCTTCCCAGAATCCCCCAGTCTGTCCAGCTGGGCTCCAGTGAGGACAGAGTGAAGGGCACTATCAAGGCCCACCTGTCCCTGCCCATTCCCTCCTCCCCCTTTCTCTGGCAGGTCCAGGGGACTGAGGGAGCCAGTCTTGTGTTCCTTCTGGGTGGGGAGGGCTATGCAAGGGAGATTATTCCATTGGCCAGATGGCTCTCAGCCCCTGCCCCCACTAACAAACCCCCCCCCCCCCCACACCTGACCCAAACACACACATATGGCACCTCTCAGAGCTCAGAGTGGCTGGATAAATGGTGTGGCCTGTGGTGTGCAGAGGCTGGAGCTGTGACATACACCTTGGGGATCTTGGGCAAGTCACTCAAGCTCTCTGATCCCATTTTCCCATCTAACAGGACCCCCTGCCTACTGGGTTGTTTTGGGGCTACAGTGTGATGATACTTGAAAAGCACGTCGCAGTTAGTTAGTTGTCATGAAATGGAGAATATTAGTGTTTTGATTGTTAGCCCTTCCCTCATACTGGGGTCAGATAATAGTTTCTCACCCCGCCTGGGTCAGGGAGCTTGCCTGGGATTTGACCTGGACATTCTCAGCGTAGGCCCAGGGAAAGAACAAAGGGGCAACTCCTAGTTCTGCTGGGGCACCAAAGAGGCCCAGGCTATGGGGCCAGCCTGACTCCAGCGAGCATAACTCTGAGACCCTCACACAGGTACACAGGTGCACACATCTGCATGCTGCTCTGCCTCTCGCAAAGTGCATTCCCACCCACCCACCCACCCACCCACTGTTTCATCTCACAAAAGGCAGGCTGCGTAGTGGGTCATCCCCATTTTACAGCTGAGCACAGAGGCCAGGGAGAGGGGAGGGGCGTACTCCAGGTCATTTGGGTATGGGGAGAGCCCAGGAGCCCTTTCCTGTTTCTGTTTGCCTGGAAGTGCTGCCGTGCTGGTAGAGGGGGCAGTCAGCGTTTAAGAGCAGGGGTACATGAGACGCTGGGTGACATCAGTAGTACGGGAGCCTGGTTCTTCTCCCCAGCTGCCAGCCCTTCAGTTGGAAGACACCCAGGAGCCTTTCCAATTACCCATGCCAACCACTCAACCCTTTTGCCTCCCTCCAGCCCCCACTGTCCAGAACCCGGGCCAGGCCCCACAGCTGTGAGTCAGGATCAGAAAAGACCCCCTCCCTCAGCTCTCTGGAGTTGACAGGAGACTTAAGGCAAGAAATCTAATTCCCCCCACCCCACCCCACCCGTTGCTACCAGGCACCTACCCCAAACTCTCTGCTCTCCCTTCCTCCCCACCCCCCAAGAGAGCCTGGGAGTCACAGCAGTTTAGGGGAAGGGGGGTGGATGGGAAGAGCAGCTGCTCTGGGGACAAGAGAGGAACAGTTCATTCACCCCAGGTCCCCCAGGGCTGAAGCAGTCCGTCCAAGATCTGAGTTTAAAAATAAGTTGGGGCTGTCTTGGTGTATGCCTGGGGCTCTTTCTTGATCTCAGTCTTGCTGTCTCAGGTCTCGTCCTCATGGGGACTCAGTTGGCCCAGAGTTTGTGTTTCCCCACATTCTTGCTTCCCAATCTTCCTGGCCTGAGGCTCTCAGGGTCTGTCTTGGAGGCTGTCAGTGTGCCTCCATTAAATCTCAGTCTCTCCGTGTCTAGCGCTGTTCCACTCGGCTTCTGCCTACCTCTGCACACTTCACAGCCGTCTGTAAGTTGTGGGAGTCTCCATATCTCTGACTGGCCATCTCCCAACTGCCCGCCTCTGTGAATTCTACCTCTGAACACCCAGCTCTGGTCTCTTAGCGTCGCTATTGGGAGGAATGTCTTGGTCCCCACCCCACCCTAATTCTCCACTTCTTAGCATCTCTGTGTGCCTCATTGTCTCTGTCTCCGGTCTCTGAATGTCCTACAGGCCTCACAGAGGCTGATTCACCACGCGCTAAGGAGGCTTACTTGTCCAGGACCCTCCAAGGCCCTGGGAAGGGCCCTGGAGTGTTCGCTGGAGTCATTGTCCGCTTTTTCCTAAAATGCTCCGCAAAACCTAGGTCTGTCCCTATGCGTCAGATGTCAGTGACGCTACGCCCAAGTCTCTGTCTCTGTTTCGAATAACTCAGCAGCCTCCTGTCTAAGCCTGTCGCTCGTGTCCGGGTCTCCCTCTCCACGAGGCTTTCTGGGAGCCTCAGTTTCCCAAACCCTCCGGGACTCTATTTCTAAACTCGGGCTTTTCCATTTCAAACTTGGCCCCCTCCCCAGCCTAACTCCTGCAGCAATCCCCGCCCCTCCCGGCGGCCGGGAGCCGCGCGGTCCGGAGGACGCCCTTCGGGGCTTAGCGCCCTTGGCACCCGCGGCGGGACCCAGGAGGAGGTAGTGGGCGGGCCGCCAACGCTCCCTCCGCGGCTCCGGGGCTGGGGCCGGGAGCTGGGATCGGAGTCGGACTCGGGGGGGGGGGGGGGGGGTCTCACCTCGAAGCCGGCGGCCGCAGCGGGGCGCGGTGCTCGTGGCGGCGGCAGGGGGGTGGTGCGAAAAACCGGGTCCGCGTCCCTTGGCGGCTTCTACCTGCGGGCCGGGCCGCGCGGGGAGCAAGCGAGCTGCCGGCGAGGCTGCTGGCTGCACCCGGACTGCGACCCGGACCGTGTGGGCGAGTGGGAGCGCGGCCCCAACCCCTCCCCGAGGAAGTGAGCGCCGGGACCCGCCCCGCCCGGACCCCGCCCCCAGCCGCCCCTGCTGGCTGGGTGCGGACCCCGCCTCCGGCCCCTGGTCCCCGAGGCGAGGGGTGGGGGGTACAGACCCCGCCCCCACTTTTCTTTTAGACTGGACCCCACCCCAGCCCCCCTCCTCAGGCCCAGCGTAACCTGGTTTTCCCAACCTTCCTGGGCGGCCAGGACCCCGCCCCTGTCCCCTCCCTGCTCCCCCTCTCTTCTTCCCCCGCCCCCCAGCTGCAAGCTGGCGATTGCTGTATTCAGTCTCAAGCAGGGGTACAGGACTCGGCCAACCGAGGTCCATTTGGGGACCGAGAGTTTTCATGCCCTTTTCGTGTTTTCCCTCCGCCCCCAAATTGCCCCCAGGAGTGACACTCAGCCCCAGTTTGTGAAAGAGGCCTCAATCCAGCCTGGAGGAGCGGGTGGGTTTTTTGACCCTGCTCTTTCAGCCCTGTCAGTGACCTAGGTAATCTTTGGGAACGTGGAGTGAACGGGGGACTCCCACCCCGCAACCTTACGCCCTTGACTTTCCAAGGGTTTTATTCCACAATTACGAGTGGCAAAAACAAAAGTAGTCACCTCCTCGCCTCCAGCTGCATCCTGGGACCGAGAAGGCTGGCCTAGGTTTCCACAGTGCCCAGGAATAGTTTTGACCTTTGAAGCCCAGGGGAGACCCTAATCCTTGGCCTCTAGAAGTTTGGGCTTCTCTGGGAGGGGTGTGAGGAGTGCGCGCGGTCAGGGCACTGCAGCGGAGGCGGAGGGGAGTGGAGGGAACCCCTCCTTCCTCACTCTACAGTTTCCAACCCTCTGGCTTCCTCACTGTGCCCGGAGCGTGGACTGGCGCCTATCAGGGACACAAAGCCCGACCAAGTCTTTGAGGCCATCCCCCCTGGGATCCTCAGGCTTGTCACTAGGAATAAATAGCCTCAATCTGGAAGGGGAGGGGGGAGGAGGAGGTTCTGCTGCGCTGTTTGCAAAACAAGACAACCAACCAACCTTGGAAACACCTCGGCATCTAGAGTGGAGATTCAGGTGGGCACAGAGGCTGGGCCCAGCTGAGCTGTCAGGGTAAAGACTCATTCCCACCCAGGCTGGGGTCCTGAGTATCCTCCTCCGCCGTCTCTGAACCGACTGCTTGCCTTCCTGGGTCCCAAGTCACCCCTGAGGCCGGGTTTCCTTCAAATTAACTAATTGCTTGTTGATTATTGTTGTTCTTGATGCCTAAACTGTAAGAGTCATGAGGGCAGGGAATGGGTCCTTTCTGATCATGACCCTATCTATCCCCAGTACCTACTCTAATGTTCGCGTGACGAATATTTGGTGATGCACGAATAACAGATATGCTTCAGTGCAGATCCCTCCTTCCCCCTTAGTTTGGACCACAGACACCAGCTATCCAGAATCCAGGGAGGGAGCAGCTAGCCCGTGGGTGGGCCCTTTCTCTGGGATTTGTCTCGCAAGTGTAGGAGACTCCCAGCCCTAGAGAGTGCAGGGAAGACTGCCTGTCTGGAGTAGATGGCAAAACAGTCCCTTCTGTCCCAGACTGGTGTGACTTGATTGGGCGTCCTCCCACAAGGAGAAAGGTCACTGGTTTGACTCCTGGTCCGAGCACATGAGTTGCAGGCCCCCCGTGCCTGGTTGGGGCACCTGTGAGAGGTAACCAATCGATGTTTTTCTTACATATCGATGTTTCTCTCCCTCTCTTTCTCCTTCCTTTTCCCTCTCTCTAAAAATAAATGAATACAATCTTTTTAAAAAAGTCTCCTCTGGGGGAAGGGAACCAGTGGGCAGCCTTCTGAAATGGGACAGGGTGGGGGCGCTACTAGTGAATGAGCGAATAAGGATGGTGCTGGGTCAAAGGTAGAGTTGGGGTCTCCGGTTTTCACTAGCGGTTTGAACAGCCTTAATAAAAGCCCATCTTTCCTGTGTTCCTACTTTGCACCAGCCCTGTCCGGGCACTTTCCATGTATTTAATGTACTTGGTTTTCCAACAACTTTTTTTTTTATAGGATTTTCTTTTTATTAAGATTTTAATGTATTTATTTTTAGAGAGAGGAGAAGGGAAAGGGAAAAGAGGGAGAGAAACATCAATGTGTGGTTGCCTCTCGCACGCCCCCAACTGAGGACCTGGCCCACAACCCAAGCATGTGCCCTGACTGGGAATGGAACCGGTAACACTTTGGTTCGTAGGCTGACACTCAATCCACTGAGCCACACCAGCCGGGGCCCAACAGCTTTTGCAATATGTATTTGTATCCCTGTTTTAACGATGAGGAAATGAGGCACAGAGAAAGTAAGTGACCTGCCAGTGGTGACAGAGCTACTAATGGCAGACTGGATTCATATTTAATCAAGTGTCAAAACTCCTAATGCCGAAAAAGAATGTGGGGGCTAAAAATATTAATACTTTTCCTCCCACCTTTTTAAGTTCTTCTGGCTGGACTAATCATCAAATTAACACCGGAGAGGAACAGGAGAAAATCAAGGATTTTAATACATGTTCATGGGGAATCCACGTAGGCATGAAAATTTCAAAGATGTCAAGGCAACCAGGGGCACAGAAGACTTTTTTGGACAGAGGAGAAAGTGAAGGGAATGGGGTATTAGATTTCTGAGTGTTTCATTCCTCAATTAACAGCTTCAAGTCAATATCCCAAAAAGGCAGCTTCAGGGTAGCAAAACTTTGGTTCCCTTCAAGAGCTTAACTGTTAAACTCTACAGTCTCTGCAGTCATTTCACCTTGTTAAGCCTCAGTCTCCTCATCTGGAAAGAGTGGATGACTCCCTGTCTCACAGCATTCTCGTGAGGGTTGGATGAGAACGCACAGTAGGTGTTCAATATGTGGGACCTCTCCCTGCCACACACACTCGCTCTCATGGTCAAGAGTTAGGTTCTGCTCCTGGACTTGGAGTCTGGAGGCCAGAAAAAAGTTGGGAGATTTCTGACTTGGCCCAGCCTGGGGAAAGGGAACTGGTGAAGGGCAAGGGCTGTTTATCTTTGTTGTTCCTGATGCCTAAACTATAAGTGCCCCCTCCGGTTCCCCTCTCCATTTCCAGCTCCCCTAGTGGGCTCACATTTCCTTGCCTGCTCTATTTCCAGTGAGTCAGGAGGACGTGCCCCAGGGAGGTCCAGGGATCAGCCACATGGACTCCCTGTTCCTGTTTCCCATCGGTCTCCCCCCTCTCACCCCCCCAGCTCCCCCCCCCCTCCAGGGAACAGGTGTGTCTGAGCCCAGGGCTGGAAGCAGAGCCTGAGTGCTGGATGACTATCCTTGGGTAAATGAGATCTGGTTGTCCCTTTGCTCACTCAGGAGCTCCCCACACACCCTTATCTTGTGGTGAAAGGGGGCTTGCACAGGGTCTCCCAACTGTTCTCTCACCTTGGGTTTTCAAAAGGAGGCCTTGGGTGGTGACTGAGAGGCCTCTCATGGTTTCCTCTGGGTGCTGAATCACTCTGATGCTTGTAACCACAAGCCCTCCTCACAGTGAGAAAACTTCTTTCCTTCTTTGGGTGTATTGCTCACTCTTACCCCTTGGGCTGCCTAGGGTTCCTTCTCCCTTCCCAGTGTACAGAGCTCTCTTCTCCTGGGTATACCTATCACTCAATGCCTTCTTCAGAGCAAGTGGCAGGAGTGACTGGGGCTGCCACCTCCTCACTCTGCCTGAAGGCTGGGCTTCTTAATTGAAGCTGGAAAGGTGGGCATAGGCCAGATCATGTCTTTCCATGGTTAAGTAACAAATGAGATGGAATGTGTTAGTGCATAGAGCCCTAGTTGGGGAAGGCTCAGACTCAGAGGCAGAAAAAAAAGTTTTCAACACTGCAGATCCCAGCTACTCTCAGCTCTCATGCCCACTGGTCTACTGGACTAGCACCTCCAGGGACAGACGAAAGGGTTTCCCCACAGCTCCTCAGCTGGAGTGAGCCCCGTTGTGTGAAATGGGTACAATTACAGGACTCTCTGAAGTCCAGCTTTATGTGGTGGAAAGGAAACGAAGTGCCTCTGGAGTGCTCTGCTGTGCTCAACCCTCTCTCTGTCCTTACAGTTACGTTTAGTGATAATAACAATAATAGCTCCACTTGATTGTGAACACAGCATTTTAAACATACTGTTTCATTTAATGCTCACAACCATTCTGGGAATAGTATTATTACCTTAATTTTACAGAGGGGGAGACCAAAGTTGAGTGAAGCTAACTTTGTCTTGGCTGGCACCAGGTAGGAGAACACACCTCTATGGTTTAAGGTCCCAATCATTTACATTGTACTGCCTCTGACAATCATTCTGTCAACCAGCCGTTCTCCTGAGGGTGTAAACTCAATTGTAAAGCTACTGCCTTGATGTAACTCCTCCATTTAACTGTGAGCCCCTTGATGGACCTATAAGGCAAGCAATGCATGCCAGTAATACTGTTTTATGGATGAGAAAAATGATGCTCATCAAAGTCGAGTGGCTTGTCAGAAGTCAGAAAGCCAGTAAGTGACACAGCCAGTCATGATTTTAAGATATGTTGTTTCTCTATAGCAGAGGTCCCCAATCCCCGGGTCGCGAACCGGTATTGGTCCGTGGGCTGTTATAAACCGGGACCGAAGGAAGCTCGCCTGATCTCCGCCTCCTGTCTCCGCCCCCGTTAACCCCCCTCCCCCCACCTGCCCGTAGTTCGCAGCCGGAGGTGAGCGACAGCAAGTTAGTGAAGCTCCCCTGAGCTCCGCCTCCTGACGCCCCCCCCCACCCCGCCGCCTGAGCTCCCTGACCCCCCCCACCCCATCTCAGTCCATTGAAAAACCGGTCCATGGTGCCAAAAAGGTTAGGGACCGCTGCTCTATAGGGCGCTTTTTTCGGTATATCCTAAAATTCACAAAGCTCCAGACTTTAAATGCGCCGCCTAAATACCGCAAGTGGAACGCGGCCCTAGGTGCCTGCGCATGCGCACACTCAAGTTCGGCTCAGCAGTCAGCGCCAGCCAC